CATCCAGCAGAGTGGCAATCGCGGCGGCTGCCGGAGTGCCAATCCCGCGCCAACGATTCCCAGCTGGTTTGGGTTCGAGCTCGGCCGCGACTTTCCTCCAAACGCGCCTCGTCTTTTCGGCGCCAAAGCTCGCGTGGGTTCAAATCTGAAACCAAGCTTCAATAGCGTCGAACGTCGCAAAAAAAAGGCAGGGTCTCGCCAACCGTGCTCCAGCGCAAGAAGCGCGGTCAGGCACCTCCCCCCTTTTCGAGACACCCCCAGTCAACCTACCCAGCGCTCTACGCCAACCAAGAAAAACACTGGGTGGGGTGCCATGGACCTTGTCAGAATATCTGGCTTTGGAAAAAGCCGAGGTCATGGCCATCTTACGAGCCCACCTCTTACAGAGTCTGTTTCCCTTCGCCAACTTGCCGAGCCTGGTGGGCCGCCTCGCAGCCCCCTCTCTCCTGCTGGCTTGCTTGGGCCTCGACGACTTGACCTGGCCTCTGTCAGTGCCTAAATCAGCAGCTACCTTCCTAGCCTGCACGCGGATGCCTTGCGCACAGAAGAAATCCTGGAGTCTCGCGGCCAGCCCCCAGGAGGACGAGATGATGGCCGATGTTGGAGCAATCTGCAACTTGATCTCGCGCAGGCCCTGGACCAATTCCAGGCCCAGCTTTGGCAACTCATTAAAAACTCTATCGGTGCTGCCGTACACGCACTGTACTATGTCATCCACCCACGTGTGCAGCGTCGGCAGAGGGCGGCCCGTGGCTATCTTCCTGCAAACAAAATGGAGGGCCGCCCTACCTAGGTCCACTGCGCCACTGCTGCCTGGGATCAGTGACGTGCCTGGCTGCACCGCCTGAGAGAAACCTCCAGCTTCGCGAAGAAACCTGGCAGCCATGTGGACCTGGAGCTCCAGGGCCAAATAGCACTGAGGAAAATCAAGATCTAACGCTGTATCCAGGACCAGGTCCCAGCGAAGACTGTCGTAAAAACCTTTCACGTCCCAGAGCAAACTGGCACTCTGGTGATCAGGAAGCACCGGGCGAGCAGCTTGCTCGTCTCTGAAAAGCAGGAGAAGTGCTACTTGCAGCGCCGAACAACCAGCAAGTGCTGTGCCCCGCGGCCCCGCTCGCCCCTTCGTCCAACCCGCTCGGTCCGAGGTCCGAAGACGGCCCCCAAAGCGGACGACCCAGGCCAGCAGGCCTATAGCACGATCGGAACTAATGTCTTTGGCCTGGAGCGTAACGAGAACCACCAGGGCCTGCCAAGGCCAGCACACTCTCTGCTCAACAAGGGCGTAGAAATCAGCAAGTTGTTGCAGGCCTAGCTGCGGTGACCACTGAAAGTCCTTCTTTGACAACCTATCAACACCTGGCGCTTTTTCGGGCAAGGCCGAGATGACCCTCCTGAGCCAGTCGGCCCCCAGAGGGGGCCTCGGGTTTGACTTGGCCCTGGACTGGGCCTTGCTCCAGAGGGAACGGACCCTCGGAAGAGAAACGCTCTCCTGCCCACTTCGCTGCCCAGAGATCCGCCACGACAGCCATTCTCTGGCGGGAGTCTTCAGCCGCCCCCCCCCCCCCCCCCCCTCCCAGTCCGAACCTCCCCCGCATGCGCAGACCTGTCTCGGATGCGGCTGCGTGGGCCTCGGCCTCCAGCCTGGCCCCGATGCGTCGCCCACCGGTGGAAGCACGAAAGCGTGCTGTTCAAAACCATTCTCTGGGCCCTCACCGAATTCTGCCTGGCCCTAGCCTCGAAATCTCTGATCGCCTGGTCCGAAGCCTCTCTGGGAACGCGGAGACCGCGGACCCGTTCAGACCGAATCTTGGTGGTGAGAGGCATGGCTGGTGAGACTGGCGTCGTAGCTGCCATGTCTCTGAGACGCCCAAAAAGTCTGGTCGGCCTGCGCTTTGAACGATCTCCCAGAAAACCAACCAGGCCCGACAACAAAAAACTCAAAGTGGCCCAGTGGGCCACAGGGTCCCTGGACGAAACGAAATGGGCACCCTGGGCCTCGGGTCTCTTCTGGAGCTCACCAAGCTGGGCACGACCCTTGAAACGCTGCTGGCCCTTGCGATGGATCTCTAACATTGCGCAGAATAACCCTTCGAAACGCGAGAGCCACTCGGCAAAAGCTGCGCCCACCTGCAACGCCGCCTCCCTGCCCAGGTTGAAAGCGAACGAGTTGGCGATGTAGCCCGGCGCTCTCACCTTGGCCACTGGATCCCTCAACGTCTCCCAGAGTAAGTTCTGCTGCTCCATCGGGACTGTGAGCAGCTGATGTCCATCCCCACCCGTCGGTCGGTACACACTGGCACTCTTGGGCTGGCTGGGGGGCGCTGAGCAGCGCGTGCCGTCTGCCGAAGCCGACGGTCGGTACTCTCTGGAATCCCCTGCGCCGGTCCTGGGTGCTGAGCAGTGCGTGTCGACTGGGGACAGTTCTCCAAATGCCATCTGGGCCTCTCCTGGAAATGCATCTTCAGCCTCTTCCTGCACATCAGTATCCTCCACTGCTTCTTCGGACTCCCCGATGCCCCAATCTCCATTGCTGAAGTAGCTGAAAGGAGGCGGCGACTTGAAACTGATTGGCCTTCTCGTCCTCAAGGTGTTCTGTGCCACAGGCTCCCCCTCGACTTCCGCCGGTTCCTCCTCGAGCTTTGAGCTCAGCTTACGCGACCGCTTGCTGTTCGGATCCTTGGTCATTCTTGGGCATCGGCGGATAGACAAATCTATCCGGCAGTGGCAAGATGCAGCGAGATGTTTGTTCCAACTTGAGCTTCAATTTGAGCTGCAAACCGAAGTGGGCTCTGCTCCCTTCATGGCAGCCTGCGTCGTCCACAACAAGTGAATCAATGAATCTGGCCATAGAAGGCGAGTGCACCATGAAATCGATCAAACTTTTCCTACCCAATGTGCACGTGTAATCTGAACCAACTGCTGTGCGAATGATGCCGTCAACCAACTTGGGCCGACCGGCCTTGATCAGCTCATGCGGCTCCGCATTCTAGTCTCCTATGGCCCATCGAGGTGTACGTATGCCCTGAATCAGCTGCCCCATCTGAATCAACTTGTCAATATTGGTGCCTGTCAATCCTATGCCTGCTGTGAGATAACTCCAATGATGGTGATCGCCTGACCCCCGACCTTCAGCTGGAAAGCGACTAGATCCTTGAAGTCTAGGCCCTTCTGTTTGGCGTTCTCTGGCTCGTTCAGCATACGCAGGCCCATATGCTGGATGGGCTTGTTTGCCAGATGTCGGAATGACTGAAACTTGTAACGCTTCGAGACCCCTGCCGTGATGCCTGCAGCACGCTTGACACTGCTGGCCGCATATGATGGCGCCACTAGCGCCTGGCATCCGCATCTGTCCCACTCATGTAGGACCTCATGGCATTCATCTGGCAGTAGATGTAGTTCTGGAAAAATGATGATATCATGGAGCCTCTCCTTCAGCAGCCCCTTCGCAGGAAAGCCCCATCCAGAGAGGTTACGCATGCAGAGACTCTTCACGTCTTGGGCGCCAGCATCAGGAGCTATACCCGCCCCCCAGACCCTTCTCACTGGCACGAAAACCTCCCACCAGCCCCTCGACCTCTTTCTCGAGGCGGGCCTGCTGTGGGTCCAGAGGGCCGCTAACCCCCACAGCCGCTGGCTGGGGGGCCGTACCCTGTCGATCCTGTGGGTCTGGGGCACGGGCCGCCCCTGCTGCTGACTCCCCACCTCCTGAGCCAGTGGCCTCACCTTCTGGTGGTGTCTCTGGTACCGTCCTCTTTTTCTTCGTCCTCTCCATGACCTCTGCCAGCTGCTTCTTGTGTTCGTCCAACTTTGACTGCAGGGCCCCGTACGACTGCTGCACCGCCTCTGAGAGCGCCTTTTGCAGCTGCAACCTGGCCCCGTCGAGCATCTTGCGGTCTTCCTCCTGCACCTCGAGGCCCTCCAGCTGCGACTCGAAATTGATATCCAGCTCAAGCTTTCCGTCCAGGATCTGTTGCACATCGACCGAGGCTGCTTTTTGGGCAGGCAACGCATGCGGCAGGTACTCCTGGGCGGCTGCAATCTCATCCTTTTTCGGTTCTCTGCACCTCCTGCGTATCCTCTACAAGGTCACGCTCTGCCCTCTCGAGCACCTTCTTGTTGCGGATCCACGCAGCCTTGGCCTTCTCAAGCACTTTTTTGGCGCGACTGACTCGAGCCGAAGCCTGCTGTAGACCTTGACCTGGCTGGAGCGGGGGTTTGGGTGCTGGCTCCTCCAAGGCCTTGAGGAGCCCCTGAGCCGCCAACTGGGCTTTGGAGGGGAGCAGGCGGGCCAGTTTCTTGATCTGTTTCTCTGGAGACTCTCTGGCTGCTGCTGGTGGTCCCGAACTCCACTTGTTTGGCACAGGAGAAACAAGATCATGATCATCAAAGAAGCAGCCACAGTCACAGGTCAAATTCTTCGACTTGAGGCGGTCCTGGAAGAGTTTTTTGCCACAACCGCTGCATTCCACCATGGGCCGCCCACGACGATTACCCCACCATCCTGACATGCTAGGCAAGGGCGGGAAGTCGAGCGACCGATCAGTTCCATGACCTTTTCCTTTCCCACTGGCCCTGCCCGATCCGTACCCACCCTGCACCCACGGCGCATAAGCGAACTTATTGTGCCAAGGCGCATGGCGCTGCACTCCCATCGCACTATGAGAAGTAGGAGTGCGATCGGACTTAGATTATCGAAATGAAAGCCCCGACAGCGGTCGGGTGATGTTGTTGGGGGCCGCGTGCGTCTCTGGGACGCCCCCCTTGCCACAACTCTGTCCGCTGCTGACGCCTGAGCCACCGCTACGGACTTGAGCCAAAATGGCTACGGAGGGGCCCCCTAGGAGGCCCAAAAAGGTGAAATCGAAGGAAGGGTAGCAGTATGGGTACCTCTTCCTCCTCTGATCCTCTGCGCCCCCGCCAGGGCCGGGCGCGCGGCGGGCACAAGCAGACCGGGAACCTGGCGGCGCGCGCGCGGGCGGAGCGCGCGCGCACCGCGGGCCTGCCACGCCCATGCCGTCCAGGCTGGGCGAGGCCCGATGCCGCGCCGCGGCGCGTCCGGCGGCCGGGGCGAGCCCTGGGGGCGCACAAGGACGTGCTGGTACGATGCGTCTTCCTCGGAAACGACCGTCCGACCCGAACGTGTATAGCATAACCATATTGCAATATATCGCTTTCCCGAGCGGTAGCCAGAAAGCGCCCGCCACGGAGCATATACTACAGTGAACCAGTATTTCAAAGGCCTTGGATGGCCATGTTAGCGTTTTCGAACGAGGCTGGCCAGCGAAAGTCGCCACGGATGGACCGAAAAGGACCAGGAGATGCAAAGGTAAGCTTGGCAAGTTGCTCATCCGCGCTATGCGGGTTGATTTTATGGTGCGGTGACGCCGACTGGCGGTCGCGGCGGCGGCAGCGAAGGGCCCCGGATATCCGACGATCTGATTTGTTTCAATCCGGGCGGCTGTGCCACAGCTTTTCGGCTGCTCGCTGGGCGTCGCTTAGTGGGGGGCGATAAATGGGGAGGGAGAATGCCCGTTTCGGGCCGTGTAAGCCCCTCCTTTGTGGCCCGAAGGGGCCCTAAGGCCCTGAAGCTTTGCTGCAGCCTTCGCTGCCCCCCCCCATTCATCGCCCTCTCATTACGCGACGCCCGATCTGGGGACCGCCGTCGGGCCCAGGGACCATCGAAAATGGGTCCGGGACGAACAACTCCCCCATGGAAGGCGCCGGAAGTTGGGGTCGCGCATTTGAAAATCTGATGGGAGATTATCGGGGCCCTTGGAAGACCGAGGCAAGCCAATGCCTGAGGTTGCCAGAGGTGGCCCTGGCCCCAAGTGCCCCCAGTCCCTCGCGCCATGGCGGGGGCCCCAAAAGCCCTCAGGATCTCGAGACGCGCGCAGGGCCACAAGGGTGCTCCACGATCCTCTCGTGCTTCCAGCGTCTGGAATACTTGTTCGGGGCTCGCTTGCGCGTCGGTGTTTCGGGCCGTGCTGGAGGGTTTTCGGGCCTTGCGCGACGCCATGTCTCAGGCGTTCCCATGTTTCCTGTTTCCGAATCCCGTTCGACAGTGATAATGCGAGCCAGCGAAGATCCCATATTGTTGGCGATTGCACCCTCGATGCATGGACCCCACACAGCTGGCTATTGCACACTCAGTGCGCAATGCGCATTGCAAACTCTGCGATGGCACCTGCGGGTGACAAAATATGTGCGTGCCAGCTATATCGCAAAAGCTACGTGATGCAAGCTACGTGGCGCAAGCCACGCGATTGGGGCTGGGCTGTGTGGCGCGAGCTACGCGGTGCGAACTATGTGGTGAAATTCCGTTTGATTGTCTTGAAGCTGTCCTCTCCGCTGCTCGTGCAAACATCCCATACCACAACTTGGTCGCAAGACTTCTCAAGACCGTGACGGTGGGTACCAAATGGCACTTGGCAACGACAGCGACGCCGACGACGACAGCGACAGCGACCACGACGACTACGCCGACGACGACTACGACGACGACGACAACGTCTCCGACGATATTGACGACGACGACCACGACGACGACGACGACGACGGCTGCGACGCCGACGCTGACGACGCCGACGCCGACGACGACGACGATGACGACGCCGACGACGACGACGGCGACGACGACGACGACGAGGACGATGACGATGACGACGCCGACGCCGACGACGACGACCACGACGACAGGACGACGACGACGACGACTTCGACGACGCCGACGCTCGAGCTCTGGGGGCCCCATCGGACTCGGGACCCCCCGGGCCGCCGAGGAGAAACCTGGGGCGATGACGAGGACGAGGACGAGGACGAGGACGACGTCGCCGACGCCGACGAAGACGACGACGAGGGAGGAAGGAGGACGATGACGGCGACGACAACGACAACGACGAAGGAGGAGGGAGGACGGCGACGACGCGAACGACGAAAAAGGACGGAGGACGGCGACGCCGACGACGACAAAGACGAGGGAGGAGAAAAGACGACGACGACGACGACGACGGCGACGAAATAGGAGGGAAGACGACGAGACGCCGACGATGGACGACAACGGCGACGAGGGAGGGGGAAAGACGACCACGGCGACAACGACGGCGGAAACGACGACGAGGCCAAAGAGGACGACGACGACGACGACGAATGAGAGAGGACGACGACGGCGACGACGGCGACGACGAGGGAAGGGGGGGGACGGCGACGACGACGACGACGACGACGACGACGCAAGAACGCGCGCGCACGCTTATTGAAAACCCGTGTTGCGAAGCCCTGTGTTCTCAAATTGCTTGGGAAACTCAATCCCACCAGCCCTCTGGGCGTCGGTGGTTTAGAGCGTTTCCTCTTCCACCCCTCCTTCTTCCCCTTCGGGGAGGGGTTTGCCCCTCCCCCTACCCCCTCCCCACTGACCTGGACAGGGGGTTCCGCGGCGCGTTGGAGCGCCCAAGATGGCCCAACACGGCTCCAAGAGGGCCTCAGGGAGCTCAAGATAACCTCCAAGATGGCTCAATATAGCGCAAGATGCCTCAAGATGGCCCCCATGATGTTCCAAGACGCTCCAAGAACTCCCCAAGACGGTTCCAAGTGCCCACAAGAGCACCATTAGGATGCATCCAAGAGGCCAAAATGCGTCAAAACCATGAGAAAATCAATGTTTTTGGTGTTCTCACTGTTTCGCTTGCGATGCACATCCGACGCGTCAAGATGGCTCCAAGATGGCTCAAGATAGCTCCAAGAGGGGCCCAAGAGAGCGTCAGGATGGCTCCAAGAGCGGCCACGAGCGCTCCAAGAGCGATCCAAGAGGGGTCCAGGAAGCGATGTTTGGAGCTCCTGGGGGGGGGGGGCTGTAAGAAGCCCCACTTCCTTGGCCGATGTCCTCCACGATGGCCGCAAGAGGCCCCCAGGATGCCCCAAGAGGCCGCAGGATAGCCCCAAGATGGCCCCAAGAGGCCCCCCAAGAAGCCCCCAGGAGGCCCCCAAGAGACCCCCAAGAGGCCCCAAGAGACCCCCCAGATGCACCCAAGGTGCTCCCAGAGGCCCCAGAGGCACCCAAGGTGCTCCCAGAGACCCCCCAGAGGCTCCAAGATGGCCCCAAGAGGCCCCAAGAGGCCCCCAGGAGGCCCCAAAGAGGATCCCGAACGGCCCACAGAGGCCCCCCCGAGGCACCCAAGACGCCACAAAGCCCCTCAGGACGACCCTCTACTCGCCTGGGCGTCGTTTCTGGACGGGCTGGCGGGGATACGTTTGTCCCAACCATCCTGTGGTGTTGGGTCCTCGTTTTGAAGAGACAGCGCTCCGCGTCCCACCTCCTCTCCTCCTCCTCCTCTCCTCCTCCTCCCCCTCCTCCCCCCCATAGGGAGCTCCACCGAAGGCCCCAGTGCTGCCGTCCGCATGCGTCCCGCACACGCATTTCGGCACACCCCTCACACGCTCCGTGGCCCCATAGGGAGCTCCACCGAAGGCCCCAGTGCTGCCGTCCGCATGCGTCCCGCCACCCATTTCGGCACACCCCTCACACGTTTCGTGGCCCCACAGGGAGCTCCACCGAAGGCCCCAGTGCTGCCGTCCGCATGCGTCCCGCACACCCATTTCGGCACACCCCTCACACGTTTCGTGGCCCCATAGGGAGCTCCACCGAAGGCCCCATGGCTGCCGTCCGCATGCGTCCCGCACACCCATTTCGGCACACCCCTCACACGTTTCGTGGCCCCACAGGGAGCTCCACCGAAGGCCCCAGTGCTGCCGTCCGCATGCGTCCCGCACACCCATTTCGGCACACCCCTCACACGTTTCGTGGCCCCACAGGGAGCTCCACCGAAGGCCCCATGGCTGCCGTCCGCATGCGTCCCGCACACCCATTTCGGCACACCCCTCACACGTTTCGTGGCCCCACAGGGAGCTCCAAAGGCCCCAGCCCCAGCTGCCGTCCGCATGCGTCCCGCACACCCATTTCGGCACACCCCTCACACGTTTCGTGGCCCCATAGGGAGCTCCACCGAAGGCCCCAGTGCTGCCGTCCGCATGCGTCCCGCACACCCATTTCGGCACACCCCTCACACGTTTCGTGGCCCCATAGGGAGCTCCACCGAAGGCCCCAGTGCTGCCGTCCGCATGCGTCCCGCACACCCATTTCGGCACACCCCTCACACGTTTCGTGGCCCCATAGGGAGCTCCACCGAAGGCCCCATGGCTGCCGTCCGCATGCGTCCCGCACACCCATTTCGGCACACCCCTCACACGTTTCGTGGCCCCACAGGGAGCTCCACCGAAGGCCCCAGTGCTGCCGTCCGCATGCGTCCCGCACACCCATTTCGGCACACCCCTCACACGTTTCGTGGCCCCATAGGGAGCTCCACCGAAGGCCCCATGGCTGCCGTCCGCATGCGTCCCGCACACCCATTTCGGCACACCCCTCACACGTTTCGTGGCCCCATAGGGAGCTCCACCGAAGGCCCCATGGCTGCCGTCAGCATGCGTCCCGCACACCATTTCGGCACACCCCTCACACGTTTCGTTGCCCCACAGGGAGCTCCACCGAAAGCCCCAGCGCTGCCGTCCGCATGCGTCCCGCACACCCATTTCGGCACACCCCTCACACGTTTCGTGGCCCCATAGGGAGCTCCACCGAAGGCCCCATGGCTGCCGTCCGCATGCGTCCCGCACACCCATTTCGGCACACCCCTCACACGTTTCGTGGCCCCACAGGGAGCTCCACCGAAGGCCCCAGTGCTGCCGTCCGCATGCGTCCCGCACACCCATTTCGGCACACCCCTCACACGTTTCGTGGCCCCATAGGGAGCTCCACCGAAGGCCCCATGGCTGCCGTCCGCATGCGTCCCGCACACCCATTTCGGCACACCCCTCACACGTTTCGTGGCCCCACAGGGAGCTCCACCGAAGGCCCCAGTGCTGCCGTCCGCATGCGTCCCGCACACCAGGTGTGTGGCGTGCCGACATGGGCGTCGCGGCGCGCGGGCGCTGCCGTCGGGGTTCCCAGGGAAGCCCCCTGCAGAGGCGACGCTCAGAGTCACGAGTACCGAGAGTCACGCAGACCCAAACTGTTCACAGTCG